GATACAGTAACGCTAATTTTCCTCGAGATACCACGCGCAAATCCGCTCCCAGGTAAGACTTAATTTATAAAAATGGAGCGGGGCATGGCGTAGCGTTGCCGCGGCGGGCGAAAACTCCGCGGCATTAATAGTGCATAATTTCGTAAGGTATTAGAAGCGTAGCGCGCGCCAGATGCCGCCCTTGATATTTTGGATGGCGGCACTACACACGGGGAAAACTTAATAAAACGGAAATCTTAACGAAGAAAAATGTCAGCAGGCAAAAACTTTTAATTACTTCTAACGAGAAAAATCTCCGCCGCGGCTGCTTTCTGTCTCTTGTTTAGCCGCGCCGAGTTTAATCGATATGTGCGTTGCACCGAGCAACATCCACATTTCGAATTTCTCCCTATCGTGTTGATGTACATACTAACATCGATGTACATAATGACATGAGTGTTTACACTGTGGCGGTTTGCACAATTATGTAAAGCATCCGATTTGGTGTAATTAGTTTACGCGCATATCAAATGATTGAGATGCTGTAAGAGAGATCGAGATCCCGTAAAAATCTCACGTTTGCCATTATATCAAATTAAAATTGGCCAATGATCGCAGGTGATTATCGAATTGTTATCGGCGATTAACGAGCACAGTGGAGGTTCGTGCGCGCTTGGAAATTCGCGGGGAAACTTGAATGAGAACCGCTAAGACACGTCAGCTGCTCGTTATTGGTAGCCAACAGCTTTCTACGATAGCTGATCTTGCGGTTTTACGTCCTAATATCGCATAAATAAGAGCACTCGAATTGTTTCAATACTTTTACTTTGCATAACCGCCACTTACCCCCGATATAATTTAACGTATCTCTTAATTGCGAAAGGTTTCCGCGATCGCGCCACGGCGATAAGAACGCTTCGTAGAACTTCTCTTACTAATCATTTCTGCATGACTGTCTCGTCGTAACAACATCTAAGATAAATGTACCAATCTTTGAGCAGTTAGGAGCACATTGTGAGGAAACATTACGTAAAACATAGTCATAAAATCTCTTTGCGTAATTAACACATAAGTTGTAAGCCAGGTTATTTTTTTGAGAGCAAGAATTAATTGAAATTAATTTGTTGGATATTAGTTTATAAATATTCAATAGACGATGAATTTTATAAAGCAAACCGATGCCTGGACATCTATTTTACATACTGAATTTTGGATACAATCAACAAATTGAACTTACTTGTACCTCATTTTGACCAACTTAATGGTCAGATCATTTGTTCTTATAATTTAAGATAATGCAATTAATCTTACAAATAATTTATTACTACAAACGTCAATAAAATTAGCAAAACTTTGCGTCCGTTTCATCGACAAATAAAGTAATTATGCAATTTGTAAAATGTACAAATTCGTAGAAATGTTTGAATGTCGCGATTAAAATTACAAGATGTGCACACAGGAACTAATCTCGACTCTGTAAATTCGATTATTCTCATTTAAAGATCAAAACATCAAAAGTGTCGGGAATTAAGGACGTGTCCAAGTATCGATGCTTTTAGCTCCGGTACGCCGTCCTGTACAAAGCAACTACCCTCTTCTTCCACCCTCTAACGACACGATATTACGTTTCTCTTTTGTCACGGCAACAAGCTACGGACGCGGCCCAATTTATCGAACCTCCCGCCGTCCGGGCGCGAGGTCCTCAGAAGAGACATTGGCGGATCGGTAACAGGAGGAACCAACGATTTCTCCAAGAACGATTACCGCCGGCAGATAGCGCCCCCTCTTCGGAAATCCAGATGGTCCGCCCTCAGGACATAACTCAGGATTTCAGCCGAGGGTGCCGGTAGCAGCAGCACCGGACCGTTTGCATAGCGCGCCTAACCCGGCCGAGACGCACATGCACGCGTGCACGCGAGAACGTGCACGTCGGCGCATACAAAGGAGCGGATGAAAGGGAGAAGCGGGGTTGGCGAGAGGGAAACGGCCAGTGGAACGAAGGGAGGTGAGAAGGAGGAAGGGAAGGAGAGGGAGAGAGAGAGACAGAAAGTAGAGTAGAATAGGGAGAGAGAGAGAGAGAGAGAGAAAGGGGAAAAGGAGAGGAGGCAGGGAGAAGGAAGAGAAGGGAGGAGAGAGAGAGAGGGAGAGAGAGAGAGAGAGA